ATGATTTGTTTGTTTGTTTCACGTTTATTTCATCTCTGCAGATTAAAGTGTAATTTACTCGGTTATTTCATTCGTTAAAAAAGGTGCTCGAAACGTTTCTCGCACTCTTCCTTCACCCTGTCCGCATTCAATTGATCTATAAAGGGGAACATTTTGCCAAGTGGAAGCCTGGCTTGAGGTTGGTCGGGTATGCCTGTTGCTCCGGCACGGGACTCGAGGCCGAGTGGCCTGGATTTTCCGTTCTGGCTCGCTTTTTCCTTGAGCCCGGCTTCTCTTCCGCCCGGGCATTGCCACCCGACCGCGCCACGCTGCGCGCTTATATTCGTCCGTTCTTGCCTGCTCGTCCCTGCACATCCGCCACGATCAATACTCACCTGACCGAGCCTGTACACACCGACGACGCAGGTACACACGCATCGCCCAAGTGTGCGTTCCAACACCACTACGTTCCACCCGTCAAACAAACCAATTTCTCATTGTTCTATTCTTAAAGTGGCATAGCGAAATAGATGGAACATGAATAAATGTGTGTTCTCAAAACGTAAATAGAGTAAATGATTGAAAGAGATTAATAGATCATGGCATGCATGAGGCATTTTATTAAAAACAGAAGTTATAATTGAGACTGTTGGGTTGTTTAATAATATAAATAATCAAAATGAATCTTGAGTTGAAAGACTCTATCCTTAGCACACTGTGTTTTTAACACGAGGCTATTGACCTAATCAGTATATGATTGTTCATTACTAGAGGCCTGAGTCATAAACGCTGTGCAGGGTCAGAGTCTGTTTTCTCTAATTGAGCCCCGAAAATGTTCTTAAGAACATTTTTGTCAACGTATAGACGTCCTTCCAAATTATTAAAATGAAAGGAACAGTAAAAGTTGTATAAATGAAATTTCATTTATTAACCCATTTCTAATAAAAATAATTGATGCCACGTGTTTATTGTTATTTTATTATTTTATTTCGCGGATGTTTGAAATACGTGTTCGAAGGAATAGTGGAAATTTCATTCGCCAGTAGAAACTCACTTGCCCGTATGAAAGTTTGATGCAGATTTGGGACTGTTAGAGTCGACTTGGATCCGAAGTTGAATTTCATCTCTGGCCAAATAGATTGTTCGCGGCTTTAGGAATCGAATATGGATCTCCGACTGGCTGGCGGGAGACGACGAAGTAGCGAGCCGAGCCGAGCGAATTCCCTTTGATGGATGACGTCGGATTACGCTTTTGAACTTTGCAGATAGTACCCAGAAATTATAAATTGAAGAGGCAGGGACATCGTAGAGCGAAATTGGAGAGGAAGATCGATGATCCCTGGCAGAAACCGGAAGGGGCAGGGATTAGGAATTGAAGAATTAAAAGGTTAACATCGAGCGTAAACGCGGTCTTGGGAATAGACAGGGAAAGGAACGTTTCAATTAATCGAATACAATACATTTCGCGGGAGCGACTTCCATTTTCTTTTAACTAGTGTCACCGACTGGAACCTCTCGGTCCACCTTTTCTCCCTCGCCTCTAACGAAGAGCTTTTGAAGTCGGATCTCTGTCAGTCGGTGGAAATGCTGACTCCTTTGTCCGAGCATCTCAGAATTTTCCTGCTCCGTTCTCACGAGCCGGAAGCTACCCAATATATGTTTGCGTCGGAGCGTTGAGAGGGAGGCTCTGAAAGTCTTCGTTTCTAAGAGTCGTGATAAAAAATAATTTGATACACGGAACGGAAGTGTCTTCTGTTCTCTTTTCTTTTTTTTAAATTAAATTGATTCACCATTGATTTTTTTTTAATTAAATTAAATTGATTGCACGCATTCCCACTGATTCTATCTGAGAATAAATAATTCTATGTTTAAACTCGAAATCTCGTATTACACTTTGACACAAAATGTACAGTGTTCTCCCTGTGAGGAAGCTTCTCGATATCAGAAATAATAGCAGGAGATCATCGTTGTGCAAAC